TAAGGTGCCATTGATTGACAGGTACTTGCCAATTGAAGAACTTTTGCTTTCAGCACATTTTTATAGGCTCATCAGAAAAACTATATGGAACTAAAGTGAATCTTTTTATCATAATGAGGAAATGAACACTGATTTATCATTTGACAAACCTTCATGATCTTCCTGAAATAAATATCATTGAAATATATTGTATTGACCAACATTTTTGTATATTAAATTTGTCTCCATTAAGTTATCTGTATCATGTTCCTTCTTTCATTGCGTTTGATAATTTTTATGATTTCTGTAGTTGATGTAGAGAGGTTGAATTTTTTATCAGCTGCAATTGTAAGTTTGACATAATTCAGCGAGCAGAACAATAGAAAATTTGGAACCTGACCAAAAAATTAGAGAGAGTAATTAGGCCTAATTAACTTAACTTCGCTAATTAACTAAACTAAAAAATCTAAATTACTATTTGTCTGGAGATGATTAAAAAAGATATTATAAAACAAAAAAAATAGATGCAGTATTTATTATCTTTTACTTTCTATTATTGTCTGAAGTCATATTTAACGGAAAAAAAATCACCTCTGCATAGAAAACTAAGACCTTAAACTGGTCCCCATTCCATCTAAAGCTTCATTTGGGTTCCTAGTTGTCAACGCTAAATAGACGTCTCGCTATATCCCGTTGTAAAATTTTGACCGTGAGATTTAGTCCATACCTGTTGTTAGTGTAGCGATAGGGGTATCAGTTTACTAAAACCTTTGATATATATAAGTTTACTAAAACCTTTGATATCTGTAAGTTTACTAAAACCTTAGATATATATCAGTTTACTAAAACCTTTGATATATATCAGTTTACTAAAACCTTTGATATATATCAGTTTACTAAAACCTTTGATATATATCAGTTTACTAAAACCTTTGATATATATCAGTTTACTAAAACCTTTGATATATATCAGTTTACTAAAACCTTTGATATATATAAGTTTACTAAAACCTTAGATATATATCAGTTTACTAAAACCTTTGATATATATAAGTTTACTAAAACCTTTGATATATATCAGTTTACTAAAACCTTTGATATATATCTAAGTTTACTAAAACCTAAGATATATAAAAACTCATTTTCTACCCAGACCACAGAAAATATAACATTCATTTATCAGTTTCTGTTTAAATATATATTGATATTGCTCTACAATTTATGTATTGAGTTATTTTTTTAAAAGTGAAAATATTTTGTTATTTTAATAATCTTATACAGAAAATGTTTCTCTAAAAACTGAACTAACTAAATCAAAATCCTAATATGAAATATACAGAATACAACCAAACAATGAGCTCTTCATACATGGAAGTGAAAATCAGAATTTT